TATATTTTATTTTTATATATATATATATATATATATATATATATATATATATATTCTTGTCTTATCCCTTTGCAAGAAGTTCATTCTTTTTTAGCACATGCAGGTTTTTATCAATTATTAATGAGTTTTTTAAAATAGCATTGTCCTTATGTAAATTATTAGCAAAGGATGCACATTTCATGTTTAGAAAAAAAGTTATTCTTTTTCATACATGTTTAAAGCTTTTTTTTTTTAAAAAAGGATGGTATCATAACGGCGGTTAATTTGATTGAACCTTAGACATGAGTGTAAAGACAAGCCATAGATAATAAATGAAGACGTATATTAAGAGGCAACCCAATATACAAAAACAATTAAAATAAATAGATTTGCTTTTATCTTTTCTTTCCTCTTTTACCTTTGTTTTCTTTTTTGATTTTTGTGTAATGATGTTTGTTTTATCTAGTTTAGCCAAATTTGTCTATGTTTGGATGTTTTTTCTTTGCATATGTAATTTACTTTTGGTATGAGTCCTTGCTTTTATAAAAAAAAAAAAATATTATGTTGGATTTTTATTTCAAACCCTTAGTGTATATTTTTTTTTCTTTTTAAGAGTTTTGGAGATTCGAACATTATTATTTTGAACATTATTATTTCGAACATTATTATTTGATGAATATTATTATTCATTCAAAATTTATATATTTTTTATAACTTATTTATTTTTTTTGTAGATTTTACTATTATATTACATGTGTGTATGAACCATAAAATATACTATGGTGATAGAAGAAAAATAGAAAAAAAATATTCCCTTTATAATTTTAATGAGAATATGTTATAGGAATTTAAAATTAAAAGAAGTTAAATATTAATATTTTCATAATAATAAATTTGAATGCTTCCATGCATGATTATACTCAAAAGTCAATCTATACTCAATTCAAAATTAATACATCAATATCTCGCAAAGTAATTTTTTTAATTTAATATAATATAGATGCATTTCAATATTAATAAAGTACATATATTGATAACAATAAGAAAGATATAAATATATTAGAAACCTATTGTCGTCCATAGATGCAACCCCCTTCTACCTATTAAGTAGCTCCTCTATCATCTGTAATGCAACCCTTTCCTCGTCATCTGGACTATCATCACTACCACCATCTTGGCCTGCCATATCTGATGTATCTGAGATGAGAATCTTTTGTTGCGGGGCTTGCCGTCCATCCTTGTTTCCAAGCTCTACAGTCATAATCCAATTTGAAACCGAACGTGGACCGGCACGCTTTTGCCAGACTCCAATGTGGCAATTCTCGGCGTCAAGCCTAAGACAAGTTAGGGAAGTATATGGAGATCTGCAATATTTGCGGAGTTTTGCACTAAGAGCTGATGAGGCGGAGGGAGAGTTCTGACCATTTCTTGTTTGATTTGCAACCACAGGGAAGTTTGTTTTGGCGTTACGGCCACTCATCAAAATCGCTGCTTCATCGTAAGCTCTTGCTGCCTCTTCAGCTGTATCAAATGTTCCAAGCCACACCCTTCTTTTTCTGTGCGCAATAATCAAGAACCCATGAAAGTTTAAGGCTAAGACTTTGGAGCAAAAGTGCTAGAACATGATAGCAAAGTACTGGGGACGATTATTTTTTTTAACCTCAAAACACTTTGAATTTTATAAATCATTTTCAAACAGGTATGAATGAATAGATTGATAAATAATTATAGGAAATTGAGAAACATAAGAACAAAACCAGTACAGTAAAGGATGACGAATCTCAGACACCCATGAGCCCCAGTGGCGTTGCCTGACACCTCTGAACTTCTTTGATTGCACCATGATGTGAAGAACTGACAGAGTTTTATGTCTTTCAGCGTTTTTCCCTTGCCAGTTCAAATCTTACGGATCATGTATATATACAGTACAAGAGAACGTTATGCTGTGAGCGAGCTAGTAAATTGAATGAGCAATTATTCATTGCTTGGTTTTTTGATCAAGTATAGCTGTATAGGCCAGTGGTAGCGTCAACAATCTACCCTAGAATTAAAGGGTCACCCTCTATTTTCCATTAGCAGCTTCTGCATGTGCTGGCCATAATTTGCAACCCACCACTCTACCTCTAGGCACTTGGAAAATTGGAGGAACAGAAACGACAATTTTCATGTAAATGGACGTAGGCGTATACAATAATCATCCAAGAATTTAATTCTACACAGCTATGATTAAATAGCAGTTGCGTTGTGGCCCCAAATTGTCAGCTTTCCGATGTCTCCGTGATTGGAAAGGGAGTTGACAGCTGATTTTCCGTGTTATATACCATACGCTAAAGCTAGAATAGGCATCGCTTCAATTATCAATTGCCACGTTACTACGTCCGAAGCTACAACTGCAGGCACATGTGTGTATAAATATACATTTATGTAATGTTGTACAAACAATTAAACCCTTCTTCTGTTGTGTATCTGATTAATTTTTTTAATGAAAAAATTTAATTATATAAAAATTAATTTAATATAATTTTATATTTGATCCATTCATAAATTATAATTAATTTTAATGTTTCATAGCTTATATTTTCTATTTTTTAAAATTAGATATTTGTAATTGACTATATTCATAATTTTACTATTGCATTTATAATTTCATATATATATATATATATATATCCCTAATGTATTGCTGAATGCAATTTAAAAATAATGTTTGGTGATAATTGTTTTATTCTTAAATCAAAGCTAAAATAAAAAGAAATATCTCATTATTTTTATTAAAAGAACTATTATTAATAACTTCCCAAGTTGATAGAAGTAGATAACAATTAGGAATCCTTAATTATAACTTTAAATACCTAGAAAGTTCTCCATTATACATACACCTATACCAAGATTTCATTTTGGTGAATGGTTAAAGAACTTGGTTTTCTTTCGGATATAAATTTTATGCATATTGACATGAAATATTCATACATTATAAATCTAAGGCTACAGACTCTTGTCATAATCTAATTTTTTATTAGTTCATGTACATGTAAGATGTCATCTAGATTTTTATATACCAAGATAGTACAAGTTTCTTGTTTCATTTACTCAAGATAGTTTAATTTTCAAATTATTGATTGGATCATTTGTTTTTGTTTTTTTTTTTTTTTTGCACATTTGTATCATTCATTTTCCTATTTCTTTCCAAATCTTAAAAAAAATTGGTTTATTGCATAATTTTTAAAGATACAAAAATTATGATAGAAGAGTGTTAAAGAACTATCTCAACCAAGTGGTCACGAGTTCGAATCTCACTATTTTTATTTATTTAATAAAAATTCAGTATAAGGTAATGTGGGCATGTATCAGTTTCAAACTCAAAGGTATAGATATTAAAGAATCATCTCAATCTAATAACTTCAGCTGTTAAATAAGATCCTAAATATAATTTATATTATTTTCTAATAAAGAGAAAGATGGTTCATCAAATTCCACTTCTAAAGGAAACTCAAGTTTTTTTTTTACCTCGAAGAGAGGTTAACATGACCAAAAGATTGATGTCTTTTTTTTGCCAAGTGTAGGAGTGCCGAAGTAATAAATAACCCGGTAAGACTAAGGTCAAACTATAAAGA